TTGTCTGAGATGTGATAATGACCGATCTTAATCACTGGTTCACCACACATGCTGATCTTGAGCCCTGAGAAAAAGCTTCCTTCACGAATAGACTTCTTTTGACGGTTGCAGCTTTCAGATCGGCGATGGGTGCACTTCCATATGAGGTTTGGTTGTCCATCTTTCTTGACTTCAATTAACCTCATGTCAATTCCAGCCTTGCACTTCATCGACTTGCAGTAAATCCCTTCATCGTATAACCATCTGCATAGAGATTAATACATGACTACTTTTATTGCCCAAATAATTCAGTAAACAAACCTTTCAACAGTCAAACTATCAGGAAATTTGCTTGTGAAATCCCAAATGGTTTGAGCACGCTTTTGCTTAGTATGATTCTTAACAACAGGCATAATGATCAATGAATGAAAGAAAGAAGAGAAAGAGAGAGCAACAACCATCGGGCCCCACAGCCACCTAAAAAGTTTTCACTTACGAAGTCACAACTTCAAAAAAAAGGAACAAAATATAGACATCACTCATAGTAAAAAAGGTACTCCCCGGGAATCGAACCCATACCTCTTGGTCAACAGAGAAGAATGTTGACCATTAAACCAAACTTTCGAACTGGCAACCTCCTCACATTTCGGTCTGGTAACCCACGCAAGCGCCAAAAATAGAAGTGTTCAAAGCCTGTATTGCGATTTTGGCACTTTCACCAAAATACTACGACTCTATATCACCACCGACAATGGTTGGCAAGTCATTTAGGCGATTGGCTGTCGAGAAAATGAAGGTCAAAGTTGGGTGTGTTTTTCTCATCATCTACAAGGTTTTTGGACTTGCTCTCTTAATCCACAGCATTAGCAGTGGTATGAAAAGCTGATAGAAGTGTCGACGAATAAGCCATGGTCCCTCAAGTGTATAGCTTTGGTTTAGCCTTCTTTAGGTACAAAATTGGGCATCAATTTCTTATGTGACTGCTTTTTGAGATTGTTTTAGATCGTTTCGGAGCATGCAGTTACCATGTCGGGGTTTTATTTAAAGCCCAGTTTCCTTATTTAGCTACATATATTTATGTATATATAGTATATAAAATGTGGTCCCCTATCTTTTCAATGATCCCGCTCGAGCTCAGCATTCTCACTTTTCATGAGGTCTTGTAAGCTGCGATTCACTGTTTCAATTACATCTCGGCTGATCATCGAGGCTTCGTCCCATATGATCAATTTTGCCATTTTAAGTAGCCGAGCTGTTGGAGATCTTGAAGTGAAGAGGCAATAAGTGGTCCCATGAAGATCAAGAGGTAACTCGAACGTTGAGTGTGCTGTAAGACCCCCATGTAGAAGTACTGAAGCAGTGCCGCTTATAGCTACAGCAATAGCTACATCTCCGGCTCGCCTAACCACATCCAGGATACTATTAAAGAGGTACGTCTTCCCTGTACCACCAGGCCCATCAACAAAATACAGCTTATGAGCGTTCATTTCGAGGATCCGCACATTTGAAGATTCGAAAATGGACTAGGACATTTCAAGTACCCGGAATGTACTAGCACATTTCAAGGATTACCTAGGTCATTTCGAGTATTTCAAAATGTGCTAGCACATTTCAAGGTCATAAATCGTAGTGCATTCAGGTTGTGATATAGTGCTGGTTTCGGTGTTTTCATTATATAGCCATCGAGAACTAATGTCGTAGCATGCTATAAATAAAATTAGAAGCCTTAAGCCCTTCATCATGTGGCAAATATGGCATCCAATTGCATGCTGGAAATAGTCTTCACCCTCATCCAAGCATCCTGTTTCATGACAATGCGTTTACATGTTAATCATTGTAGCTCATATTACATTGATGAGTGTAGTAAGCAATAGGGCTTAGTCAGAGGACTAAAATAGAGCATGGAAGTAAATAGAAAAAGCTGAGTCATGGTTCACGGAATGATAGCAGTGGTGTGAACGTAACCCGATCCATCAATATCACATGTTCGGAAAGAGCCGATAACTCAGATCTTTATTACTAATCGGCATTAGTAAGCGCGGAGACAATTATCCCCTCAAAGCGATCAGCGGGATATGATTTGATGTACGTAAATGGAAATGGAACAAACTTTAGCATCAAAAATACCTGCAGCAATTAGCTTGTACCACTGATGCATATTTTTCATGTCGCCATATATATTGCATGCGCTTGTAAGAATGATAAAACCAGAATTACTCCCCCTACCTTTCGTGGCCTACATACTTACATCAACATCCAATACCAGTTTTCTCGGTGCCGAACGCGGATGGCTATCGAAAGCCAAGTTTGCCAAGCTTATGGATGACTACGTTGCGAATCCCAGGCCTAGTGATCCAAAGATGACGTCCACCACCAACGTACGAAAAAGTGATAAGACATTCATAACCCTCAAGATGTACAAGGATATGAAGCGAGTGCTTGAGGTAATTTAAATGTTGGTTGTTATCCTTGTATTTTGGCAGACATTCGAACGTATAAGCGCATAGGGAAAACAACCCACTGGATCACACGAGGCAAATTTCCAGTGGTGGGTACGTAACACGTTCAACCTCAAGGTCCTTCCTGGTGGCACAACTTGCATCGTTCGTAAGGAGGGCAATAGAAATGCTGGCAAGTACATCGCGATCAAGGAACACCTTTACGACATGATTGCAAGTGCACATGAGCAAACATGTCATGGACGAAGAGATGCCATGAAGTTCAAGGTATGTGCTAACGTTAAACTACTATGGACATCATAGCACCCTAATCGTATCACCCTTCTAGTTCAAGGACTACTGTATTGCCCTTCAAGATTTGTCAAGGATGTAATCGATCATTGTAGCACTTGTGCACGTACCCAGCCAAAGAAGCAGATCAAGACTTCGGCACGAGCTATCCATGTGGAATCTTTCCTCTCAAAGCTTCAGGTACATGCTTGGTGCATTACAAACACTGATGCATCTTTGGGCCGGACGTGTATGGTAACCAATAACAACTTTAGATGGATCTTGTTGACTTTGGTGGCAAAACGACTCCTACGGGTGATATGAGATACATCCTCCACGTGAAGGACCACCGGACCAAGTACTCGTGGGCGTATCCACTTCTATACAAGTTAGCTAGCGAAGTTGGTAAGAAGTTGCATGCTCTCTTTTGCGAGGTTGGCCCACCCGATGAACTTCAGAGCGACAATGGCGGTGAATTCACTGCAGACCACATGGTAAGTTTTTTGTAGATTTTACTGGCACCATTTAATTGACAGCACCAATGCCTGATAGGTTGACGACATCCCAAGCAAATGGCCAAGCATCAAGTTTATCACAAGTTCATCATACCATCCCCAATCCCAAGGATGTGTTGAGCGTGGAAACTTGACGCTCAAACAAAAATGGCCATATGGACGAAAGAATTTCCTACAAAGCATTGGACTGATGGTCTTCCGGAGGTGGTTTATTCGATGAATACTACGTATTCATCGCCCATCAACACTACCCCGTATCGTTTGGTATATGGACAAGCCCCACGCTCTGAATTCGCATCCGTTATCGATTACGCTGCAAAAGCGGAAGCTATCATCGCAATGGCTGATCCTGAAGGTATCTTCGAAATGGATGATCCTGAAGACATAAACGTGGATGCCGCCAATGAGGGTGAAGGTGAATCAGATCAACAAGACCCACATCAAGATTGCCATGAAGATCACGCTGACATGGACGTCGAGGAAAGTCCACAACAAGATTATCATGAGGATGGAGATGGCGAGTCGCCCATTGAATCTGACAATGGTCTTGAGGATTACATTGATTATTTGTATGATCACAACCACGTTAAATCCCCTCGATTTTCAACTTTGAGATTCTCAGCCTTTTCCC